CCGCGCCGGTGGGCGTCGCCGCGCGCCTTCGACCCCGACGAGGGCGTCATCCCGGCGTAGGAGGCGTAGGTCACCTCGCCGTCGCGCTCGCCGAAGAGGCCCAACGCGATGCGGTTCTCCAGGTGCACCTCCATGCTGTGCTTCTCTAGCTTGCTTTCCGACTCGGCGATGGCGAGCTGTAGTCTAGAGGTAGAATTTATTACAAAGTAAAACACGTAGGCCGAGATGGGGGTGAATGAAACCCGCTCGACGTCGATGCCGGACCTGCGGGAGTCGCGTTCACGGCCGCGTGCGCGAAAAAAATCACCCCCCCGCGCCCACTCGTTTTCGGACGATTCGCGCGATTCCGAAGGCGTAGACCCGTCGTGTCCCGACACGGGTACGCGCGGCTCGACCAGGATGACGCGCTCCTTGCCCGCGCGGGCCGCGGTCTCGACGATGCGGCGCACGTCCGGGTACGTGCGGATGAGCCGGCGGAGCTCCGCGCGCTTGTCGTCCAGGAGCTTCGCGATCTGCTCGTCGCCGGCCGGCAGGCCGAGTTCGAAGTGGTCCAGCTCCCGAATAGCGCCGTCGCAGAGTTCGTCGAGGACATTCTCGGGCACATCACCATGATGGGGTGCCGCTCGCTGCTCCGGAGTGCGGGGCTTGTTGCGCTTCGCCGAGGGCGTGTCGCCCGAGTTGCCCCGCGGCGTCGTCCGCTGGAGGTTCGAGCCGGAGGCCTGGGCGCCGGGGGAACCGGTAGGCGTGTGCATTTTGGCGGTGGCGGCGGGCGGCGACGACGGCGGCGGAGGCGAGGCTTGTGGCACGAATCGGCGAGCGCCGGTCGACGGGCCCCTGCCGTCGGGGAGCAGCAGTCTGCCACAGAATATGCTGAGACGCAGGATGTTCAGCAACATGTTCGGTCCCGCCGCGCGCCCGCTCTCGACGCGCGTGACGACGGAAATCACGGACCACGTGGCCGTCGTGACGCTGGCGCGCCCGAAGAAGATGAACGCCCTCGACATGGACATGTTCCGCGCCGTGCGCGACGCCGCGCTGGCGCTCCGCGAGAACGCGGACGTGCGCTGCGTCGTCGTCCACGGCGAGGGCCGCGCGTTCTGCGCGGGGCTCGACGTCAAGTCCGTCATGAGCCCCCTGGACGCGTCCGCGAATACGGCCGAATTACTCGAGCGAAAGGACGGCGCCGTCGCGAACCTCGCGCAGGAGGTGTCCTACCTCTGGCGCACCGTGCCCTGCCCCGTCATCGCCGCCGTCCACGGCGTCTGCATCGGCGGCGGCTTCCAGATCGCGCTGGGCGCGGACGTCCGCGTCGCCGCGGCGGAGACGAAGTTCAGTGTCATGGAGGCCAAGTGGGGCCTCATCCCGGACATGGGCGCGACGCTCGCGCTCCGCGAGCTCGTGCCCCGCGACGTCGCCATCGAGCTCACGACGACGGGCCGCATCTTCCGCGCGGAGGAGGCGAAGGCGCTCGGTCTGGTCACGCGCGTCGTCCCGGACGGCGAGCACCTCGCGAGCGCGCTGGCCACGGCGAAGCAGATCGCCGCGGGCTCGCCCGACGCCGCCGCGGCGGCGAAGCGGCTCTGGCACGCCGCCTACGACGCGCCGACGGACGCGTCGGCCGATCGGCGCATGCTGCTCCTCGAGACGGAGCTCCAGAAGCGGCTCATGGGCGGCTGGAACCAGCTCGCGTGCACGGTCAGGGGCCTCGGCGCGCCGCCGGCGCTCCAGCCGGGCTTCTACGCGCGCGACGACGCCTGGTCCCAGGAGGCCGACGACGAGGCGGAGAAGCGCGTCGCGGCGCTCCTCGACGGCGTCGACTTCGACGAGCCCGCGCGCGCGGAGGCCGCCTAGCTCCTAACTCGCGGCTAAGGGGTCGCCGTCGTCGGCGGCGTCGAACTCGGCCGCGTACAAGCGCCGCCGCCAGGACCGGCTCCGCGGCGCGTCCGCCCGCGAAACGCAGAGCCGCGCGGCGACGGCGCCGAAGACGAGGAGCGCGAGGCCGGCGACCAACGCGCGGCCCGGCGAGAGCGCGGGCGCCGCCGTCGCGGCGTCCAGCGACCGGTCGTCGGCGTCGTGGATGGCCGCGCGGACGACGCGCCAGCTGGACGCGCGCCGCGGCCGGTACGTCCGCGTCTCCATCAGCGTCACGGTCCCGTACTGGCGCGTGTAGCGCAGGGACCCCGGGTTCACGACCGTCGTTCGCCCAAAGCGCGCGACGCCGCCCGCGGCGTGCGCGCGGCCGTGCGCGCTGAGCAACACGGTGCGCTGGCTCGCGGGCGCCGCCTGTGTGCAAATCAAATCTTCAACCCGACTTCAATGTGCGCGTACTCGAATGTTTTGACACGAGCACTTCCGCCGTGCTTCGAGAACTCGCTGAGAGCAATCGAATCGTCCAAAAATCAGCCGAATCCACTTCGATTTGACCGAGCTAGAGAATTCTGAAGTTTGGCCCCGACGTCCCAGCTCACTGGTTGATTTGCACACAGGGCGCCGCGAGCAGGTCGTGGAGCGCCGCGCTCCCCGCGTGGAGCGGCTGCTTCCGGATGCCCTTGGGGTCGTCGATGCTGTCGGGGTCGGCGCCCGCGAGGAGGGACGTGCCCGCGCCGTCGGGGCCCGCGTGCGTGAGGAGGAGGACCGCGTCTCCGGCGGGGATGTTGGAGATGGCCTTCCGCAGCGACTGCTGGCGCTTCTTGAACTCGGCGTCGTCGTAGGGGAAGCCGTTGAGCCAGCTCTTCGTCTCGTTGGCGACGCGCGCGCGCTTCTTCGTACTCTTGGACCCGTCGCCCTTGTATTCGAAGGGCGCCGGCGCGCCTCCGAGGCCCGCGACCCACAGCCCCCGCGTCACCTCCTCGACCTGCTCGTGGGCGTTGCGCGCCTGGTTCGCCGGCGCGGCCGACGCGGGCGCGTCGTAGAGCGGCAGCGGGTCCAGCGCGCCGGGCACGAAGTACGCCAGGGGCGCCATCGCCGCCAAGGCCTCGGCGACGGCGGCCGCGCGCCGCATGTAGGCGTTGGACCGCGGCACGTCGCCGGCGCCCGCCGTGCCCTTGCTCGTCGCCTCGTGGGCCATGGACGTCAGGTCGCCCGTGCAGAGGAGCATGTCGTAGCGGCGGCTGTGGCGCTGGAGATGGTCGCGCAGCCGGTACAAGGCGTCGACGTCGTCGTGGATGTCGCCGACGACGACGATGTTGTACTCGTACGTTTTCGTGTCGTTGTCTTGGCGCGCGGCAAAGGCGGCGTGCAGCAGCAGCAGTAGTGCTGCTGCTGCGCGCATATTTTTGGCCCCCATAAGCCGGCGACGATGTTGAAGGGGCACATCGACCTCAATAATCATTCAAACTCGCGCTGGGCAGCATGGAGAGCTCGTTCTTTATGGTTCCAGCTTTAAATGAAGGTCTCAAAATGAAGTCAAAGCGTCCCCAACCACCCAAGTGGACTTCCGGCCCTTATCGAGGCCGGCGGAGTCCGTCTGGGCCTCCACCTTCATCAATGCCACCAGACGAAGAACGAGAAGTCGAGCGCCAGAAGCGCCACATGCTCGAGCTGGGGCTCAAGGATCCCGACGAATTCGACCCTGAGGCAACCTGGGAGGAAGAGAAGAAGTGGGAGGAAGCGATGGGAAAAATTGTCGCTGATTGCTCCATTTGTTACGATCAGCGCCTGGCGGCGAAGATGAAACCGTGTCCGGAGCAGGACGGCGATCTGGCGTGTGATTCCTGCTGCGAGCCGTGTGAAGGATGCGGCGAGTTCTACATGCTATTGGCGTTCGACGCTGATGACGAGATCGCCTATTGCAATCGCTGCTCCAAAGTGTGCGAAACGTGCAACGTCCGCTATCGGAACGAAGATGTCTTCATCTACGACAACCGCGCGTGGTGCAAGGACTGCAACGGCGAGAGTTCCGCGCTCGCCGAGCAAGCTGAATGGGAAGACGTGGAAGCGCACTGCGAGGAGGAGTACCGGTGCCAGGTGTTTCTCCCGGACAAGCTCCGCAAGCAAATCGAGTACTACCTCAGCGACGCGAACTTGAAGCACGACGCGTTCTGCCGCGACAAGATTTCGTCGAGCGAGGGCGGGTGGATCTCAATCGACGCCATCGAGAGCGCACTGCGCATCGTGGACTTGTACGCGGAGGAAGAGGACCTCGTCTACGCGATCAAAACGTCGGCCAAGTTGGAACTGAAGAAAGAAGAGGGGCGCTATTTCGTGCGCCGCCGCGACAATCGCGCGCTGCCTGCCTGGTCCGAGACGCCTCGCCCGCGCGACAAGAAGCGCCGCCGCGAGTACGGGTCGTACGGCGGCGGCTACGGCCACAGCGCGGCCGACTGCGACGAGCTGCTCATGCAGGGCGCGAGGCCGTGGGACGACGACGCCGGCGCGGTCATGGGCGCCCTCCGTGGCCACTACTCATAAAGCGAGTTTAGCACAGCGCGCCGCGGCTGCTCTCGCGGCCTTGGATGTCGTGGGAGAAGCGCGTCTTGGGCCGGCGGCGCATGGGCTCGAACTGGAACTTGTCCTGGACGTCCTTGGCCCAGTCGTCATGGCCGAGGGACGCCATGAGGCGGCCGACGTCGCGCATGTGGGCCGGGGACTCCGTGCCGCCCGGCGCGAGGTAGGGGAAGGCGCCGTCGAGGATCTCGCGGACGCAGACCTGGGCCCGGTACGTGTCGACCTCGTAGTTGCGGCCCAGCAGCACGGCCTCGAGGTGCTTCGCCGTCTCCGCCAGAAAGACGTCCCGCGGCCGCGGCGGCGGGTCCGCCGCCCGCTCGCGGCGCCCGCCGCCGGACGCCGCGAGGAGCGACGCCCGGGACGCGCCGCCGGCCGCGTCCGCTTTCGCGACGGCGACCGCGACGCCGAGCTCGCACGCGGCCGCGGCGGCGGCGACGAGGAACGCGGGGCCCGCGCCGTCTTTCTCGAAGACGACCGTGAGCTGGGGCCCGCAGACCATGGCCGCGTTGAGCGTGACGTCGACGATGGCCATCGTCTGGGAGACGTATTTTTTGGAGGCGATCTTCGAGAGGTACGTCACGTACGCCGGGCGGCTGAGGCCGTTGCCCAGCGCGACGAGCGCCAGGGGCGCCAGCAGCGCCCAGGGCGACGCGCAGCGGTTGCCGACGAGCGGGATGCCGCCGACACCCGCGCCCAGCGCCAGCGCGGCGATGGCGCACGTCGGCATGAGCCCCAGACGGGCGGAGACGGGCGCGAAGCCGCCGGCCATGACCGCCGCCTGCGCCAGGCCCAGCGCGCCGAAGAGCAACCCGCTGACCTGGCCCGCGGCCTCCCGGGGCAGGTCGCCGTAGGACGTGAGCACGAAGAGGGGCAGCAGCACGGACGCGCCGCCGTAGGCCACGTTGCAGCTGAACGACAGCAAGCCGCACGCGAGGCACCGCGGCCGCCGCCAGGGGCTCGCGTCCGCCTGCGCGCCGCCGCCGAGGGGCGTCGCCTCCGTGGCGGCGTCGGCCGCGTCGTCGGACCGCGTCCGCGCCCGCTCGTCCTCGCGCGCCTTGCCGTCGAGGAACTTCTGCTCGTCCTCGAAGACGAGGTCCGCGGGGTCCTTGAGGTAGTGGTGGGCCGTGGCGAGCCCCAGCAGCGACACGGCGCAGGCGAAGCACATGGGCGCCCGGAGGCCGAAGGACGACAGCGTGCCGCCCAGCACGGCTCCCGCGACGAACGCGGACGCGATGGTGGCCTGGACGCCCGCGAGGTACCTCGGCCGCTCGTTGGGCGGGAAGACGTCCGTGACCCAGGCGAGGGCCACGGGGGGCACGCCGCCGAAGAGGCCCTGGATGCCGCGGAAGAAGAGCATCTCGGCGAACGTCCGCGCGCGCGCCTGCCCCGCGTAGCCGACCGCGGACCCGACGAGCGACACGAGGAAGGCGGCGCGCCGGCCGTGCCGGTCGGCGAAGACGGGCAGCCATACATTGCTGCACGTCATCGCCAGCGCCGTGGAGCTGAAGAGCAGCCCCGCGAGCGCCACGGGCTGCCCGAAATAGACGGCGAACTGGCCGAGGATGGGCAGCACCAAACTCTCGCCCATGATGTCCACGAAGACCGTCAGGTAGACGAAGACGAGCGACACCTGCTTCTCGCTCCGGAAGGTCATGCGCGACAGGTCGCCCCCGGACGACGACGGCCGCATCGTCGCGGCTTCCTTAATTCTGGAGCGGCACCGTCAAGGCCGAGCTAACGTTAACTCCGCGGTGCCGCCTCGCGCCGACGCCGATCGACTGAGGACCTTCTGGGTTTGGGTGTTGGCAGCCCCTCGGCCGCCGCGCCGACGATGGGGAAGAAGAAGCACCACGCCAAGGCCCCCGCGCCCGCGGCCGAGGCGCCCGCGGCGCCGCCGCCGCCGCCGACGCCCGCGGAGGAGGCCGCGGCCCCGGCGGCGGAGGCTGCCCCGGCGGCGCCGGCGCCGGCGCCGATTTCGCCGCGCACCGTCGAGGCCAACGTCGGCGTGCTGCGGGCGACGAAGGGCTGCGTCGACCCCATCCTCTACCCGAAGCAGCCGAAGATCCCCATGGCCGCGGAGAAGTACGAGCCGAAGCCCCCGGAGGACTGCCCGGACGGCAAGTGCACCTGGAAGTTCGGCGTCTGCACCAACGGCTGCGGCACGGGCCGCTGCGGCGTCTGCGGCAAGTGGGGCCAGAAGTTCTGTTTCAAGGTCGGCTCCGGCGGCATCCACTGCCCCAAGGCGTCCTGGGAGCTCCTCCCGAACTACCCGGGGACGAAGCACCCGCGGAAGACCGTCGCGCCCTGGTCCCACACGGGCGAGGCCAACATGAGCCTCCCCTGGTGAGAGGCGCAGAGCCGCAGGGCCGCGCGCGTGGCCCGCCCCGGCGCGCGATAGGAATCTTGCGCCGCTTCAACGTCGGGGCATCTTGAGGGAGGCGTTTTGGTTGCCTCTTGCTCGAGAGGCTCTCACAAAGCAGCCACTGCCTCTCACAAAGCAGCCATCCGCGCTGCTTGGTTCGCTGCTCGTCTTGCACACATGGCTGGCCTCCTTCGCGCCGCGGCGGCGGCGGGCGTCGCCGGCGGCGCCTGCCTCCTCGCCAAGACGACGGTGTCCCAGAGCCACTGCATGGTGCCCTGCGGCATCTTCGACGACCCGCGCGTCGTGAGCGAACTGAAGCAGGACGCGGCGACGATCAAGAAGGTGCGACGTCGATCTGTCGCCCCACGAAACCGTCGTCCCGCCTGCAGGCCATGGTCCAGATCACCGCGCTCGCCGGCAGCCGCGTCCCGCAGGACGTGAACCAGTGCACGCGCTGGGTGATGACCAAGGAGGACCACGCTAACAAGATCATCAAGACGACGGCCGAGTACATGCTCGCGCAGCGCGTCAAGGCGCCGGCCTTCGCGTCGCGGGCGGACTACGCGGAGGCGGTGATCGCGCACCACGCGCTCCTCCAAGCAGCCATGAAGGCGAAGCAGACCGTCGACGTCGCGCACTGCGACGCGCTCGACCACGCCATCGACGACGTCGGCGCCATGTACGTCAAGCACGCCTAGGGAGGGGGGGGCGGCGTCGCGCGCGGCGGAGAGCGAACGCGGCCGAGAGCGAACGCGCGGCGGACCCGCGCGCGGTCGCGGCCTAGGCATCGGGGCGGTTGGCCGTGAGGCACCTCCCGCGCCGAGCCCCACGCTAGAGATCATTGACGCGGATGAGTGCAATCGCGGATGCGATGGAACGGCGTGTAAGTCCTCGTGTGGACGCCTGCGGCTCGTTTTGTGATCGTCCTGTCAGAATTTCGACAAGAGGTGCTCTCGCACAATCTGCAACTCACCTCGCCGCGCGCCGCGCGACGCCTCCCGACCCCGTCACCGCCTCCGCCGACGCGTCCGCCGCGTTCGCCGTCGCCATGCCCCCCGCCAGACCCACGACCATGGACGACTCCTACGACCGCAAGCGCTACGCCCACCTCGACAACAAGACCATGGACAACTCCTACTCGCACCTGCGCGCCGCCGGCGCGAGCGCGAACACCAACCCCCCCCTGCGCGCGAACGCCCCCCAGACCCCCCTCCGGCGAACAGGCACGTCGACGAGGGCGCCGTCCTCGCGGAGATGTCGACGGCCGCGCCGCCGTTTCCGCACAAGGCGCTCGACGCGGCGGTCGTCGCGCACTGCGGCCGCGACCGCCTCGGCTCCGGCGCGGCCTGGGCCGACCACTGCGCCTTCCGCGGCGTCGACATCTCGCCCGTCGTCCGCGCGGACGAGGGCGCGGCCGACGAGAAGCACCGCTACTACGCCCGCTACTCCGCCGGTCTCCAGAACAGCGCGGATTTTTTCAACGCGTCGTCGCGCGCATGGTGCACCGCGCCGAGAGAGGCGTCGATTCGTCCGAACACGCGAGCCGCGACGACGTCCGTCTCGAACTCGAGGCCGGGACCCGTCGACGAACCCGCAGGCGTCGTCGAGCCGCTGCACGTCAACTTCAAGGCGGACCTCGAGTGGGTCGTGCTCTCGGGCAAGTTCAAGGTCGAGGCGGGCCCCGTGAACCCCGTGCCCGGCCACCCCAAGGTCGCGGACACGCTCGTCGCGGGCTCGTGGTGGGCCGTGTGGAAATCAAATCTCAACCCGACTTCAATGTGCGCGTAATCGAACGGTTCGGACCAGCCTCTTCGGCCGTGCGTCGAGAGCAATCGATTCGTCCAAAAATCAGCTAAATCGACTTCGATTTGACCGAGCTAGAGAATTTCAAAGTTTGGTCGGGACGTCCCAAATCAGCGGTTGATTTCCACACAGGTGGTGGGCCGTCCCCCGCGGCCAGCCCCACGAGGTCACGTGCCTCGAGGCCGGCGTCGTCTTCGTCTCCTACAACGGCAGCCCCATCATGAAGTCCCTCAAGCACGCGGCCATCGACGCCTAGGCGCGCGCGCCGCGGCCGCGCGCCGGCCGCGGGCCGCGCGGGGGGGCGCGGTGGATGGACGTCGCCGCGCGGCGGGTGCCACGCGCCGTCTCCACGCGCACATAGCCCCCAACACACACGACCACCCTCGTAATCCTACTGCATGCCGCGTGGCGTTTGGGCCGCGACGGGACGAGTACGGACGGTGTCGAGGTTAGAAGGTCGGTTACGAGGACCGATCCGCCGAGCGCTCGAGCAACGGGAAGGCCCCGCGCGCCGCAGCGCGCGCACCGACGACGCGCGCCGCGGTGTCGTGCGATGCGCAAGCGCGCGCCCACAGCTGACGGCGTCTTCGTGCGAGACGCGGCGATGGCCGGCCGCGCCTGCCCGCGCTGCACGTTCGTCAACACCGATGCGCCGAACGGCCGCTGCGTCCTCTGCTCCGCGCAGTTGCCCTCGTTGCGGCGCGCGCGCGCGGCGGCGGCGGCGCCCGTCGCCTCGCAATCGCGCCAGCTGCGCCAGCTCGGCGACTTCCTGGGCTCGGGGCCCCGGGACGCCGCGCCGTCCGCGATCGACGCGCCGCGCGCGGCCGCAGAGCGCGCGCGGCCGCCGACGCCGGAGGCCGTCGAGCCCGCCGGCCGGGACGCGGGGTCCGACGCGACGTTCCGGTCGGCGCTGGGCAAGTTCGCCGACCTCTCGCCGCCCGCGGACGACGACGCGCCCGCCGACGCGGAGGACGTCGACGCGGCGGACGAGATGGAGGACGTCGACGCGGCCGAGGCGGAGGCGGAGGACGCCGCGCCGGCGGACCTCGAGATGGAGGACGCCGCGCCGGCGGACCTCGAGATGGAGGACGCCGCGCCGGCGGACGAGGAAGAGATGGAGGACGTCGCGCCGGCGGACGAGGACGAGGAGCGCGCGTCGTCCGGCTCCGACGACGCGGACGACGACGACGACGACGACTACGACGACGAGGATGACGACGACGACGACGACTTCGAGCGCGAGTTCGGGGGCCGCGGCGCCGCGCCGGCGACGCGGGACGCCGCCGAGCGCGACGCGTTCGCGCTCACGGACTCGCCGCTCGACACCCAGACCGAGGCGGCCGTGGCCGCCGCGGAGGCGTCGCTCGACCGCGAGCGCGACGCGGTGGTCGACCTCACGGACTCGCCGCTCGACACCCAGACCGAGGCGGCCGTGGCCGCCGCGGAGGCGTCGCTCGACCGCGAGCGCGGCGCCGCGGCCGCGGGCGCGCTCGCGAGCCGGCGCGTGCGCTTCGCGACGCACGCGACGTACCAGGGCGAGCGGCGCTACCTCTTCGAGGCCGAGGACGGCTTCGTCGCGACGACGGCGGACGTCGCGGCGGCGGGCGCCTACGGCGTCGACGCCGTGAGCGGCCTCGTGTCGGGCCTGCGCAAGGCCGGCGCGCGGCTCGCGGCGACGGCGGGCGCGATCGCCGCCGCGGAGGCCGTCGTCGTCGTCGACCTCGGCGGCGGCCTCTGCTGCCTCCGCGTCGGCGGCGTCGAGAAGCACGCGTCGGCGCGCGGCCGGAGCGAGCACTTCAAGGTCGCGTCGGGCTACGGCCTCGTGCGCGGCTGGGAGACGTTCCGCGCGGAGGACCTCGGCGGCGCCGCCGCCGCGGCCGCCGCGGCCGCGCCGGCGGCGGCCGGCGCCGCGGCGCCGCCGCGGCCGCGGAAGCGGGGCTACTACGACGGCAAGGCGCCCCTCGCCGCGCCGGCGCCGGCGGCCGTCGCCGCCTGGGCGTCGCGGCCCGGCGCCGTCGCCGGCGGCGGCGTCGTCCTCGACCCGGCGGTCTCGGACCGGCTCCGGGACCACCAGCGCGCGGGCGTCGCGTTCCTCCTGGAACGCGCGCGCGGCGCCGGCGCCGGCGGCGGCCCGCCGCCGATCCGCGGCGCGATTTTGGCGGACGGCATGGGCCTCGGCAAGACGGCGATGGCGCTGTCCGCGGTCCACGGCCTGCTCCAGCAGGGCGGCGCGCGCAAGGCCGCCGTGCTCTGCCCCGCGTCCGTGCTCGACGGGTGGAAGAAGGAGATCGCCAAGCTCATGCCCAAGTGCATGCGGCCCGTCGTGCTCCGCCAGTCCGAGTACGAGTACCCCGGCGCGGTCAAGCGCCAGCTCCGCGAGTTCCTCGAGTGCCCCGCGGCGCACGTGCTCCTCTGCTCCCACGACGCCGCGCGCGGCCACGCGGCGGCGCTGCTGCCCGTCTTGGACGTCGTCGTCGTCGACGAGGCGCACGCCTACAAGAACCCGAAGACCGCGTCCTACCGGGCGCTCGACGAGCACCTGCCGCGGGCCTGCGCGCGATTGTTGCTCACGGGCACGCCGGCCCAGAACGATCTCGGCGAGCTCCGCGCGCTCGTCGCGCTCGCGGCGGGCGACGCGGGCGACGCGACGCTCTGGCGCGGCGCGGCGAAGGAGGGCGCGACGGAGGCCGACGGCGCGGCGCTCCGGCGCTTCGTCGCGCCCGCGGTTTTGCGGCGCGACGCGCGCGAGGCCCTCGCGCGGAGCCTGCCGCCCCTCGAGGACCGTATTGTGTTTGTCGACCTGTCGGCGACGCAGCGGCGGCTCTACGACGCGTTCCTCGAGACCAAGGCCGCGAGGCGCGCGGCGTCGTCGAACCGCCGCGGCACGGACGCGCTCGGCGCCGCGGGCGCGCTGCGGCTCCTCTGCTGCCACCCGGCGCTCTGGGACCGGGGCGAGGCCGCGGGCGACGCGCTCGAGCCGTCCATCGTCGAGGCCGCGGCCGCGCTGCTGCCCGCGCGCGACGACGAGCCCCGGGCGCGCGAGTACGACGCCGGCGCCAAGGTCGCGTTCCTCCGCGCCGCGCTGCCGGCGCTCGCGGCGCGCGGCGAGCGCGTCGTCGTCGCGAGCGGCTACGTGTCCGCGCTGCGCCTCGTCGCGCGGCTCCTGCGGGACCTCGGCCTGTCGCACTGCCGCGTCGACGGGTCGACGTCCGCGGACGCGCGCGCGCGCGCCGTGGGCGCCTTCGCCGCGGGCGCCGCCGAGGCCGCGGCGGGCCGCGGCGAGCCGCCGCCGCCGGCCGTGCTGCTCCTCAGCAGCCGCGCGGGCGGCGCGGGCCTGAACCTGCCCGGCGCGTGCGTCCTCATCCTCCTCGAGCCGGACTGGAACCCGGCCGTCGACGACCAGACCTGCGCGCGCGTCTGGCGCCCGGGCCAGGGCCGGCGCACGCGCGTGCTCCGCCTCGCCGCGGCGGGCACGCTCGAGGAGACGGTGCTCGCGCGCCAGGCGGAGAAGCAGGCGCTCTGGCGCGCCGCGGGCGTCGGCGGCCACGGCGCGCCGCCGCGCGACGCCGCCGCCCTCGCGCGGGGGCTCTTCGCGCCGGCCTGGAGGACCGCGGTGGACGCGCCGGACGCGCGGCGCGCGCTCGCGGACGCGACGAACGGCGGCGACGCCGACGCCGACGGCGCGGCGCACGGCGGCGCCGGCGACTCCGACGACGACGGCGCGGCGACGCTCCCCTACGGCGGCCGCGCGCCGCCGGCGGACGGCTGGCGCCGCCGCCGCGCGCCGCCCGCCGACGACGCCGAGGCGCGCGCGCTCGCGCGGCTCCTCGACGACGACGGCGACGACGGCGACGACGACGACGCGCCCGTCGACGACGACCCCGCCGTCGTCGCCGCGCGGGCCGTCGTGTCGCGCGTCCTCTTCCGGGCGACGACGCCGGCGCCCGGCTGGGAGACCGAGGCCGCCGCGGCCGTCGCCGCGGCCGCCGCGGCGATCAAGCCCAAGGCGAAGCGCAAGGCGCCCGCGGCCGGCGCCGCGCCGCGCGTGCCCCGCTGGAAGCAGTTCCGCCGCCGGAAGAAGGCGGCGGCGTAAGGCACGGAGCGCATGTCAGGTCCCCCAGGTTCAGGGACTCTTCGAGGTACCATTCGTTGAGCTCAACATTGAAGCTCGCTAAATAATTGACACAAGCTCTGCGGCGCCGACTCTCTGAAGCGGAGAGATGGCCGGTCTCGCCTGCGCCTGCATGCCGCTGCCGCTCGAGAGCACGGACGCCGTCGTCGTCTTCCTCAAGGTGCCGACGCTCCACAAGACGAAGACGCGGCTGATCCCGCGCTTCGGCGCCGAGGGTGCTTACGCCATCGCGCAGGCCCTCGCCGAGGACACGCTGCGGCGCCTCGGGTCGTCGCCGCTCCTCGACGACGCGCGGCGCGTGGCCTGCTTCGCGCCGGCGGACGGCGCGGACCGGCTCGAGCGGCTCGCGGCGCGCGCGGCCGTCGCCGGGCGCTTCGAGCTCTCGCCGATGGCGCCGCGGGACCTCGCGAGCTCGGACCTCGGCGCGGCGCTGCGGGCCGAGTACGAGCGCGTCCGGGCCACGACGCCCGGCGCCGTCGTCATCGTCGGCATGGACGCGCCGGACCTGCCGCTGGACGTCGTCGCGGGCGCCGCGACGGCCGCGCGGCGCGGCGCGGCCGTCGTCCACGACGCCTCGGACGGCGGCTACGTGCTCCTGGCGCTGCCGCCCGGCGCGCCGGGCGACGTCTTCGACGGCGTCGAGTGGAGCACGGACCGCACGGCGGCCTCGCAGCGCGCGGCGCTCGAGGCGCGCGGCGTGCCGCTCGCGGCGCGCGCCGGGCCCCCGTGGCCCGACGTCGACGAGCCGGGCGACGTCGACGCCCTCTTCGCGCGCCTCAACCCGACGGCCTGCCCGAGCCTCGCCGCGGCGCGCGCGAATCTAACCTAGCGGAAGCGGCGCCCGGCGATCTCCTGGAGCTCGACGTCCATGACGACCGCGCGGCTTTTGGTTCTGACGTCGGCGCTCGCGCTCGCCCGCCGCGTCGCCGAGTCGGGCGTGAGGAGCGCGTGGGACGTGAGGTAGAGCGCCCGCTTTTCGCCCTCGCACATGCCCTGGAGGCCCCAGTTCCATCCCGTGAGGACCCTGTCGTCGCCGAGCACGAACTCCTCGCCCTTGTTCTCCGCGAAGGTCTCGCAGGTGTCGAAGTAGCGGCTCGCGAACTTGACCGTCAGCGTGTCGCCGACGCGGGACCGGCGGTCGCAGACGTCGGCGTCGACGCTCTCGAGGACCCGGACCTCGAAGCCGTCGGTCGTCGGCTCCTCGCCGCCGCACTCGACGACGGGCGCCGCCTTCTTGCGCCGCTTCTTCTTGCCGTCGGCCGAGTGGAGCGACAGCGCCAGCAGCGCGACCGCGGCGACGCGCGGAAGCGGGCTTCCCATGTCGATGGATCCGAGGCTGCCCGCTGCGACACTCTGGTAACTTGAACAGCAAGCCTGATTTGCTTGACGGTCTGGTCCGAGACGCTCATATTGAAGCCGCCACGCTCGTCGTCGACGCCTGCGAGCTGCTCGGCGCATCCGATGTGCTGATCGTGGTGCGATCGACGCATCCATCGTGAAGTGCTCGGTGCAAAAGGCAAGTTGACTGTTGCTCACATGTTGCGCTGTACAACCCTCCTCCTCCTCGCCACGACATCGGCGCTGCGGCCCGTGGCGCGGCGGCGGTCGATGATCGGCGCCGGCGCCGCGCTGCTCGCGCCGGCGGTCGCGCGCGCGGACAAGCCCGACGCCGTGCAGGAGTTCAAGGCCGCGGCGGGCCTCCGCGGCGGGCCCGTGCTGAACGCGGACGGCGAGTACGACGAGGGCGCCGGCGGCGAGTCGTGGCAGGACGCGTGGTCCGGCCGCGCGGCCAAGGCGTCGTCCATGTCGCCGGACGAGATCCTCATGGCCGCGCGCGGCGCGGGCAACACCGCGTCGCGCGAGGGCCCGGAGTCGGAGCCGTCGAAGAAGCGGCGCGCGCTCGCGGGCTGCCGCAGCGACGGCCTCCGCGCGAGAGCGAAGGCCGGCGACGCGAAGGCGTGCACGGCGCGCGTCTTCGCCGGCGAGGTCGACTTCATGCTCTCCGTCCTCGACGCGGCGCCGGAGTAAGACCGCGGCGATAATTATCGGGAGGCGGCGCGCGTTCGGGACTAGCGGCCGAAGCCCGCGGCCTTCGTCGGCGCGGCCTTCTTCCAGCGCACCTCGCCGTTCGCCGCGCCGCCGTCGCCGCCCGGGTCCGTGCCCCACTGGTCGAGGGGCTTCCACTCGTCGACGGACTGCCACGCGCACTGGCAGCAGTAGGCGGCGAAGGCCGCGTCGGGCGCGAGCTTCGTGCGGAGCTTCGCGAGGTCGTAGGAGTGGCCCGCGAAGTTGCGGAAGTGCATGTAGTCCGCGCGCCGGTGCCACCGGTGGCCCGAGAAGCGGACGACGCCAAAGTTGCACGACGTGCAGTGCAGCGGCGGGCACTTGCTGCGCTGCGCCGCGCCGCCGATGCCCAGCTTCATCATCGCCGACCCCGCGGGCGCCGGGTCCGGCTCCGCGCGGCTCCGGCCGCAGAGCGCGTCGTCGTCGTCGTCGTCGGACTCGTCGTCGTCGGACTCGCCGCCGGCCGCGGCGGGCTTGGACGGCGCGTCCCACTCGCCGGTGGCCTCGAGGGATTCCACGATGATGCCGCTCGCCGATTCCTGGCTCCGCCCGCTGCCGCTCCGGCCCGCGATCGCGCTCGGCACCTCGTCGTCGTGGCGCCGCGCGGAGCTCGGCGCCTCCTCCGTCGCCGCGCTGCCCGGCCGCGGCTTCCCGGGCGCGGGCAGCGCCGGCGCCTCGTCGAGGGGCGGCGGCGGCGTAAACGCGGGGTCCGCGGGCGCGGGCGCGGGCGCCGCGGGCTCCGCGGGCGCCGACGCCTCGGGGGCGTCCTTCGACTCCTCGGCGTCCCCGAGGCGCGGGGTGCCGCCCCGCTTCACGGGCGTCGCACCGGGCTTGACCTGCGCGTCCTTGGCCAGCGACTTCGACGTGCCGCACTGGCCCATGGCTCCCGGGGGGGGCGCGCCGAAGGACGGCGGCGGGAGTTTGCTTGCTCAGAGAGAGAGCTGCCCCGTCGTTTTTGAGTAATGCGTCAAGGTTAACTCGGAAGCGAGCCAACGTTTCCCCTCACCTCCGGCGGCGCGAGGAGCGACGCCATGCGCGCCGCGACCGTCGCGTCGTCCCAGGTCCACCACCGCTCGGCGAGCAGGGCGTCGACCGTGGCGTCGTCGAAGCGCCGCTTGATCTCCCGCGCCGGGTTGCCGACGACGACGGCGTAGGGGCGGACGTCCTTCGCGACGACGGCGGCCGCGCCGACGACCGCGCCGTCGCCGACGGTCACGCCGCTCAGGATCGTCGCCGCGGCGCCGATGAAGACGTCGGACCCGATGGTCACGCCGCCCTTGGACGTCGCGTGGGCCCGGGGCACGAGGGCCGCGGCGGCGGGCGAGAACGCCGGGAAGGGGAACGTCGTCTTCCACGACCACTGGTGCTCGCCGCCGAGGTAGACGCGCCTGTGTGGAAACCAAATCTTCAACCCGACTTCAATGTGAGCGTATGCGACAGTTTCGACGCGATCTCTTCGGCTGTGCCTCGAGAACTCGACGAGAGCAATCGATTCGTCCAAAAATCAGCCGAATCGACTTCGATTTGACCGAGCTAGAGAATTCTCAAGTTTGGTCAGGACCACCCAAACCAGTGGTTGAATTCCACACAGAGACGCGCGCGTTGGGCCCGACGCTCGTGAAGTTGCCCACGGCCAGCGCCTCGGGCCCGCCGTAGGCGAAGATCTCCAGCGCCTCGGCGCCGTAGGTGCCCCGGCCGACGGCGACGCGCGCCGGGTAGCCGATCGCCGTCCGGAAGCTCTCGTAGACTCGCGCCCCGGGCCAGTAGGCGCCCGTCGCCGGGTCCGTCGCGTACCAGAAGGCCTCGGCCCGCGCGCGTCGCAGCGTTGCCGCGCAGGGCTCGGCCGCGTCGAGGTCCGGCGCCGCGATCCACGCGTAGAGCGTGTGCACGCCGGGACTCGCGCGGTCGAACGTCGCGTCGAAGGCGACCTGCTCGGCGACGGCGCGGCAGGTCGCGGCGCCGGCGAAGCCGTCGCGCGGGTCGTCGGCGCCGACGCAGACCGACGCGCCGATGCCCGCGAGGCCCGCCGCGTAGCGGCCGTCGACGGCCGCCGTCGCCGCGACGCGCGTCGCGCCGCGCGCGCCGGGTTCCGAGGACGCGTCGAGCGCGAGCACGGGCGCGTCGGCGGCGTCGAGCGCCGCCAACGACTCGCGGAGGCGCCGCACGCCGTCGAGGAGCACGCCGGCGACGCAGGCCGCGTCGCCGCAGCCGCCGCCGGCCGCGAGGCCGTGCGCCTCGACGACGTCGACGACGAGGGCGCCGTCGCCGGCGGCGTCCGGGCCCAGCGGGAGCGCGAGCTCGCCGCCGACGTCGAGCCGCAGCACGGCCCGCGGCGCGCAGCGCTGGGCCGCCGCGACGCCGAGGCAGAGTGCGGCGAAGCGCGCCATCGTTGAGGTGCCGCTCCAACGCCACCGAAGGTTCACGGCGCCGCCCGTCGTCGCGCGCAGCGCCGCATCTTCGGGCCGCCCGCCGCGGCCCGCGGCGCGCCGCGTCGCCGGCGCCGGCCTGAGCCATGCCCCCGAAGAAGTCGAAGACGAAGAAGCCGCCGCCGCCGCCCCCGACGCCGCGGCGCGCGACCATCCTCATCGCCTACTCCTACCGGGGCCTGAGCATGAACCAGATGGGCATGGGCGGCTGCTACCGGCGGCTGCGGTCCCTCATGCTCTCCGAGTTCGTCCTGGGCGAGATCTCCGTCGTCGGCAACGGCTCGACGTCCATCGCGGACCTCGCGGACGCCTCCGCGCTCACGGTCCGGCTGGTCGAGACGGGCGCGTCGCTGGGCGAGATGCGGCGTCGATGATGAGAATCCATAGGTCACGTCCGAGCCTTTTTGGGGCCGCGACGACCTCATTTAGAGGAGACACCTTTGTGACGCTCCCACGTCCTAGGCGCGCTCGACTTCTCGCCGCCGAACGCGCAGATCGTCGACCTCGCCAAGCACGCCGTCAAGAGTGTGCGGAAATACCTCGGGACGCCCTTCGCCCTCGACGCGGCCACGGGCACGCTGAAGCCGCCGGGCCGGTTCCGCGGGAGCGGCTCCTTCTCGAACCTCCACCTCCCCGCGGTCAAGGGCAAGAAGGGGAAGAAGAAGTAAAAATTACCAGATCGACGGCGGGAGGCACCGCTCCCGGTACGTCTCGCCGGGCGACCGCCGGAACGCGGCCGCGAAGCCGCGGAGCACGGCCGTGTCGCGCGAGCCGCGGACGGCGGGCTCGACGCCGTGCTGGTCCCGCATTCCTCGACGAAGCCCGCGGCGGACCAGCCCGCGAAGGCGAGGGCGTCCGGTGCGACGACGGCCGACGGCGCGACGGACGCGTGGCCCTCCCCGTAGGCGCCGACGGTTCGCGCGCAGGCCGCGACGGCCAGGAGGCGCTTCATGCTGCCGCGCTAAAGGAGGAAGCCATCATTGCCGGGCTTGTGGCATCATGATTGACACACCTTGCCGTAAACGAGCAGTTCCAGCTCTATTTATTAGGCCAGCGGGAGCGTCGGCTGGACGCGGACCTCCGAGGCGGCGGTGATGACGAGGTTCGACACGAGGCTCGCCTTCTGGCCCTCCATGAACGCGACGCCGTCGGCCTCGGCGCGCGCGATGGTCTTCTGGGCGATCTTGTAGGCGCCGTCGACGACGGTCTGCCGCGCGCCGAGCATGGCGATGGCCTCCTGGCGCTTGAGCATGGCGCCGGCGATCTCCGGCGCGTAGTTGAGCTCCGACAGCGTCATCGTGAGCACCGTCGCGCCCGCGCAGCGGACGCGGTCCTGGAGCGCGGCGACCATCTCGGCCTCGACGGCGGCGCACTCGCCGCGGAGCGACGGCCCGCTCGAGCTGCCGTCGAGCGTGTGCGAGTCGTAGGGGTAGCGCGCGCAGACCTGCTTCAGCGTCGCCTTGGCCTGCGTCGCGACGTACCCGTAGGGGTTCGCCGTGTTGAGGAGCGTGTTCGCCGGCGCCGAGAACCGGAACGTGACGACGGCCGACGCGACGAGGGGGCAGCCCATGGCGTCGAGCACCTTCTCGCCGGGCACCTCGAGGTTCTGCTGCGCCGTTGAGATTTTGCGGAGCTCGCGGCCCCACATGTTGACGTAGTGCAGCCCCGGCTCGTTGACGACGCCCGAGAACTCGCCGAAGTGGATGCTCACGAGCTCCTCCTTGGGGTTCACGAGCACCCAGGACCCGAGGCACGTGCACGGCAGGCACAGGCAGCCGAGGGCCTTGCTCAAGAGCGGCTGGCCCTGGGGGATGAGGCTCGCGTCGTAGCGCTCGGCGACGACGTTCGGAGCAGCGCCGCGGTCCACGGCCTGCTGCAGCGGCGACTGCAGGAGCGGATTCGCGATCTCGTCGATCTGCTTCTCCATGGCGGCGCCGTCGGTGGCTGCCCAATGAGCGATCCACGAGAACGTTTCGGGATGAGCCGCATCTTGAAGGAAACGTAGGCCTAAAATTTACGCTACCGAAACGTGCTCGCCGGCGGCGCCGCTCCGCGTCCCCGTCGCCGTCGGCGCTCGCCGTCGCCGTCGCCGAGCGCGTCCGCGACGAACCCGACCATGAGGACGGCGAACGCGCCGAGGCGGAACCGGAGCTTCGTCTGCGTGCTGACGAGGTTGCCGAGCGGCCGGCTGAGGACGTGCGTGATGCGGTCCGCGAAGTCCGACTTGGCGTGGTACTTGCTCTGGAACCGCCGCTCGCGGAGCGCGCCGGCCGCGCGCTCGCTCCGGAACGCCAGCAGGCGCTCGTGCGCGTCCGCGACGCCGCGGAACGACGCCGCGGAGCCGCCCGCGTCCGGGTGCGCCTTCTTCGCCTCGCGCAGGAGGCCTTTCGCAGCGCGTCCTTGGAGACGCGCGGGTCGTCGAGGCCCAGGCGCTGCGCGTCCTTCACGGGGCAGTGGTATCGTCCGTCCATGCCTTGATACCACTGTCTTCTGCTCGTCGACTGCTGCGATATAACTATTATACGCGCCGTCGACTGCTCGTCGACTGCTGCGAGCGTCGTATGCTGCGTGCCCGTCGACTGCCGCGCGCGCTGCGCAGGCGCAGCCGGATTTGCCCTGCTCGAGGGCTCGTCCGGCATCGTCGGCTCCTTTACCCCTCGATGCTGCCATCCTGGGGCTGCGATGGGCATCGATGCAGCCCCGCCCATGGGCATGATCGCGCCCTAAGATGACTGCGCCTGGGTCGCCGCGCAGCCCGCCGGCGTCGCCGCGCAGCCCGCCGGCGTCGCCGCGCAAGACGCCGATGACGCGCGGCGCGCGGCCGGCGCGCCTCGTGGCCGTCGCCGTGCTCGGCGTCGCGTCCATGGCCGCGACCTACGCGCGCCTGGCGCCGAGCCTCGCCAAGGCCCAGGACATCGCGGCGCCGGCGGCCACGTTCGCGAGCGCGGACGCGGACGACACCGTCCGGAAGGCGGCGTCGTCCGCCGCCGCGGAGCGGGAGCGCGGCGCGACGGTCGCGGCCCGCGCCGCCGACGAGGCCGCCGCGGAGGCGCCGAAGGACGCCACAACCGCCCGGGCGGCGCGGCGCTGCGACACGGCGACCTGGCTCGCGGGCCTGGGCCGCCCGTGCGCCGTCGGGTCCGCGGCGCGCGGCGGCTGCTGCGCGCTCGCGGACGAGCCCGCGGCGTCGCCCTCCGTCGCCCCCGTGCTGCCCCGGAAGCCCCTCGCGAGGACGACGAAGCCGCTCTGGGGCCTCGCGCACGCGCCGGCGAACGACGCGGTCATGGGCCTCGCGTTCGGCTACGGCGCGGAGGCCTACCGGGTCTTCGTCGGCAGCCTGCGCAAGGCGGGCTTCGCCGGCGACGTCGTGCTCGCGACGAGCGAGGCGGCGAAGATGCGGCCGGGCGTCGAGGCCTACCTCCGGTCCCAGCGCGTCCTCGCCTACGGCTTCAGGTTCTCGTGCGCGTCGATGCGGATGGGAAGGCGGCTCCTGGGCACGCCCGGCGGCTGCGTGCTCCTGGACTGGTACGCCGCGGGCGACCCGCGGCGGCCGCGGCCCCTGGCCCTCGCGCGCTACGAGATGTACGCGACGTGGCTCCGCTACTACGACGAGAGGAGCTACGCGCTCCTCGTCGACACGCGCGACACCTTCTTCCAGGCGGACCCCTTCGAGGGCTTGAAGCGCCGGCGGCCCTTGGATCTTTATGTTTTTCAGGAGCACCGCGAGCTCAAGACTATTGGAAGATGCCCCTTCAACAGCGGCTGGCTCTCGTGCTTCGACAAGCCCCGCGGCGAGTCCATCGCGGCGTGGCGCGGCATCCTCGACCGGCCGACGCCCCTCGTGAAAAAGCACTTCGACGCGCCCGTGCACTGCTCCGGGTCGACGCTGGGGTCGCGCGACGGCGCGCGCCGCTACGTCGCGGCCATGCTCGACGCGTTCGACGAGTTCGCGTGCCACGAGTCGGCCTTCGACGCCATCCAGAGCGACCAGGGCTACCACAATTATCTGTTCCTGTCCGGGCGGCTCGGCGCCCTCGTGCCCAACGTCACGTCCGTGCCCCAGGGCTTCGGCGCCGTGAACACGATCGGCGCGCTGAACGGCGGCGACGTGCCCAAGGAGCGGCGGGGCTCGCTCGACGGGCGGTGGCGCCTGCGGCACCCCGTGCAGGGCTTCGTGACGAACTGGGACGGGACGCGCAGCGCCGTCGTCCACCAGTACGACCGCTGGCACTACGAGATGCGGACCTTTGTGGAGCAGGCCTTCGTGACGGACAATTTTTTTCCGGGCCGCGAGCCCCTCTACGTCGCGCACCCGCCCCTCGAGCCCGACGACGGCGCCTGCGTCGACGTCGCCTGGGTCAACGGCTTCGGCATGACCTGCGGCGACCTCCGGCCGGAGCACCGCGACTGGGTCGACTCGTCCGGCGCGCGCGCGACGGACGCCTGCTGCGCCTTCGGCGGCGGGCGGCCGCGCCGCGCCGACGAGCCGCCGCCGCCGCGGGCGGCGGCCGACGACCTGTGGGTCGGCGACGACGCGCCGGCGCGCGAGCCGCCCGAGCCGCCGCGGGTTCAGCCCCCCGAGCCGCCGCGGGTCCGACGGAGCGGCGTGGAGCGGAGGACGCCGACGAAGGCGGAGCTGCTGGCGGCGAACGTGGACGACGGCTACGGCGGCGACGACCCGCCGCCGGTCGAGCCCCCGCGCGCGGCGGCCGGGGCGCCCCCGCCGCCGTGGGACCCGAACGCGCCGCCGGGCGACGTCTGGGTCGGCGACGACGCCGGCCCCGGCGACAACCCCTGGGAGCTCGCGGACCGCGCCGCGGCGGTCGCGGCGCCGGCCGCGACGGTCCCGCGCAGGGGCGCGGCCCACCTCACGGCGGAGCGCTTCAAGCGCCGCGCCGAGGCCCGCGCCGAGGCGAGCGAGACGCGCGCGCGCGCGGGCCCGCCGCCGCCGCGCGAAACCGCCGGCGGCGCCCCCCGCGTGACGGACGACGACGGCCTACGGTTCCTTTAGTACATCGCCGGCCCCTGGGCCCGCCGCGCCGCGGCGCGCTCGCGCTCCTCGCGCGCGAGCGCGTCCTTCTTCTCGGAGACGGCGTCGCGGAAGGACCGGTCGAGCACCTCGCACTCGCTCTGGAGCTCCGCGAGCGCGGCGCCGACGACGGCGACGGGCGTCGCCTTGGACGTCGTCGTCTGGACCTTGACGAGCATGGAGTTCTGGAGCGGGTGGGGCATCTTGTAGCCGCAGTACCTGACCTGATTGTTCCGCAGGACCTGCATCTGGAGCAAGTGGCCGACGGTGTGCGTCTCCTTCGCGATGGTGAACGTCCCCGCGTTCGGGATCTTCTCGTCGTTGGCGTAGACCATCTTCTTCTCGCCGTCCGCGAGGACGTAGGAATCGATGCGGTCCGGCGCGTTCATGGTCTAGGGCGTCGGTGGAGGTCTTGGCCGCTTTGGCGACGTTCCGAGCGGCGGGGGGGGCGGGCGCGGTCGGGGGGCGGCGTCCGGGGTGAGGGGGGTGCCGAGGCGAACTCCGGGCGCGGCGTACTCGAAGAGCGGAGGCGCGTCGACGTCGACGCCGGGGCGGGCGGAGGGCCTTGACGACGCTCACCTGGGGGGCTCGAGCGCTCGCCGTCTGCCACAGCAACCCGCAAAAATCGCAATCCGTTTGCGACGCTCCGGGCCTGAACGTTGCGGCTCGGCTGCTGTCACCCGCGGCACAGCGCGCGGCACCCGTCGACGCAGGAGCCGCGAGCACCATGTCGGGCCCGCCGCGCATGATCGTCGAGATCGTCTTCGCCGACGACCGCACGGAGCACATCGAGGTGCGCGACGGCGACGACCCCGGCCACCTCGCGCGCGAGTTCCTCGGGCGCTTCGGGCTGCCGGACACCTACGAGGACGTGCTGAAGACGCAGATCGAGGCGTCCATCGCCGAGGACGAGCGGCAGCGTGACGCGCGCCGCGTCCCCGGGGCGCCGCGCGGTCCCGCGATCCCGAATCGTCTCGCAGGCAAGTTGCACGCGGACGTCGCCAAGGCGGCCGTGTCGTCGCCCATGGGCCGGCGCGCGTCCATGCGCGCCGAGGAGTCCGCCGTCGAGGCGCAGGCGCCGGCGACGGCCTTCGAGAAGGCCATCCGGTCGCGCGCGGGCACGCGCGACGACGACGACGCGGCCGCGGCGCCGCCGCCGCCGCCGGAGCCCGCGGCCGAGGAGGACGACGACGAGGAGGAGGACGACGACGACGACGAGGCCGACGCGGAGGCGCGCTACGAGAGCGCGCGGCGGGGCTTCGCCGCCGACGAGGGCGGCGCGCAGGACCTCGTCCGGTCCAAGAAACGGGGCGACGCCGTGCGGTGGCGCGAGCGCGACGCGAAGCGCAAGGCGGGCCCGACGCTCGCGTCCGGCAAGTTCCGGATGACGGGCAGGTCCAAGGCCCTGGCGCGCCACGTGCAGCCCCGGGGCCGCGCGGGCGCGTCCATCCACGAGCGCCTCCACGACGAGCACGACGAGCTCGTGGCCGCGCGCGCGCGCGTGTCGAAGCTCCGCGCGGAATCGAAGGAGTCCGAGCGCGACTGGCTCTGCCCGAAATGCGGCCACGCGAACGGGCCCGCGGCGCTCGCCTGCCAGCGCGTCGTCGGCTTCCGCGTCAATCTCCAGGACGCCTGCCCGAGCTCCTGGGCCTGGGCCGACGAGACGTCCGGCAACCGCTTCGGCGGCCCCCGGAACGTCGTCCGCTGCGACATGGCGCGGCCCGACGTGGGCAAGCCGACGATCTGCGCGCCCAAGAGCCGCCGGCTCATCGACGCCTGGCGCCGGGGGTCGACGAAGACCCAGTCGCGGAGCTTCTCGCCGCGGAACGCGCCGGAGAACGTCTGGGACGACTTGTACCACCACGCGTTCGAGCCCGCGCTGTGCCGCCTCGCGCCGAGTGACCGCAAGGACGACGCGGAGCTCACCTTCGAGCCCAAGATCGACGAGCACTCCAAGGCCATCGTGCGCGAGAAGGCCGTGGTTGATGCGATCTTACAAGTTTTGGACGGCGACGACGCGCGCGACGCCGCCGACGCGTCCACCACCGCCGCCGCGGCCGCGGAGGCGGCCTACGCGGCGGCGATCTCGTCGGCGCCGCTCCCCGTCAAGGCCGGCGACGAGATCCACGAGCGCCTCTACCGCGAGTCCTTCCTCAAGGCCGCGAAGATCGAGCGGTGCGACGACGCGACCGGCCAGTACCCCTTCAAGCCCGACATCGGCACCGCGCGCTACCGCGCGGCGACGGCGACGTCCCAGCGGGCCCTGGACGCGCGGTTGATGACGAGCCAGCTCGCCAAGAACCGGCCCCGGGACGACGCGTCGCCGCGCGACGCGAAAACCGGCCAGCGCCTCTACGAGCCGTTGGTCGCGTCGCGGGGCCCGCTGGGCACGCCCCACCACCGCCAGGCCGACGCACTACCGGAGCGCGGTTCCATCCACGGGTCCCTGCACCGCGACGAGACGTCCGTCGCCCGCCGCCGCGACGACCTGGGCCGGTCCGCTTTACTGACCGCGAAGGAGGACGCGTCGCGGTCGCACGTGTCCGACCGGTCGCGCCTCATGCTCGAGTCCATGCGCTACGCGGCCTACGCCGACATGTGGCGCGAGCTCGGCGCGCCGCGGAGCGCGTCGCCGAGCCGGGGCCCCGAGCTCGCGGAGCCGCCGAGCTCGGAAGATTCCGGGTCCGGCGCGGGGTCGCGCGACTTCGCGGGCGGCGGCGACGACGAGACGCGGGGCTCCGACGAGCTCGCGGCGGACGTCGCGGCGACGCCGGACTACGGCGCGGCGCTGGAGAAGACGCTGGACCCCGCGCGCGCGTCCGCGCGGTCGCTCCGGTGCTGCGGCGCGGAACTCGCCGCGACGGCCGCGAAGGTGCTGGAGGACGCGGCGGGCGCGGCGTTGGATTTCGAGGCCTTCTGCTTCGCCATGGAGGCGGCGGTGCCCCGGGGCGGGCCGACGAGCCGCCTCTTCGCGCGGCCCGCGCGCGCGGACGCGGCCGCCGTGAGCCGCCGCCTCGCGGCCGCGGCGTCCGGCGACGACGACGAGCTCACCTTCGCGCCCGCGCTGTCGAAGCGCGCGGGCGCGAAGCTCGACCCGGCGCGGAAGCGCGTCGACCCGGCCAAGGTCGAGGAGCACCTGCTGACCTACGCGGCCAAGTACGCGAAGCAGCGCGAGGACCGCGAGAAGGCGCTCCGCGACGAGGAGGCCGCGCACTGCACCTTCATGCCCAAGGTGACGAAGAAGGCCGCCGCCTTCTCGGGGGACTACCCCCTCGTGCGCAAGTACGGCGGCGCGCCGAGCTCCGCGGCGCCGGACGCGGCGGACGCCTAGGTTTGTGGAATGCACCGTTAACGTAATCTGCGTTCGTACGGGGGTGCATCTTTAGCACGGGGTGGCACACGGGGTCTTGCAGGGGAGGCGCACGCACGGGGTCATGGAGGGGCTCTTTGCGGGGGCGCGAGTTCGGGCGGCGGCGCGCCTCAGGCCCGGATTCCAGTCGGATATTACGGCCAGTGTTGCAGTCATTCTTGTTGGCGAGTTCGCGAGCAGAGTTGTGGCAGATCAAACGGCGGCTGCTGCTGCCCAGACACAGATGTCGTCGGCCGCTGGCAAGAAGCGCGCCGTGACGCAGTCCGAGGGGTCGGCCTGGCAGGACGACTCGTCGGACGACGACGGCGACGCCGCGTCCCCCGCGTCCCTGGGCCCGAGCCCCGACGACGTGTGCCTGTCGCAGACGGACAACGTGACGCCGGCGCGGGAGAAGAAGCGGCGGCGGAGCAGCGGCGCGGGCGTCGGCGGGGGCGAAGAGGCCCTGAAGAACGCGAAGACGATCCACGACCGCGTCTACGGCGCCGTGCCCGTGCCCGGGCTGCTCGTCGCGTTCCTCGACACGGACGAGTTCCAGCGGTTGGACTCCATCGGCCAGCTCGGCGGGTCCAAGTACGTCTTCCCCGGGGCGAAGCACTCGCGCAAGGAGCACAGCATCGGCACGTCCCACATGGCGCGGGCCATGGTCGACCACCTCCGGCGGCTCCAGCCCGAGCTCGGCATCGACGACGCCGACTGTCTGTGCGTGCAGCTCGCGGCGCTGTGCCACGACATCGGCCACGGGCCCTACAGCCACATGTGGGAGGCCTTCGTGCACGCGGCGACGGGCTCCGACGACTGGACCCACGAGAAGATGAGCGCGCGGCTCATCCGGCGGTGCGCGGGCAAAAACGCGATTCCGCTGGACCGCTACTTCCGCTGCTCCGCGGCGGACGCCGCGGCGCACCTCGAGTTCGTCTGCGCGCTCATCGAGGGCCTGCCCGACGCCGCGCCCTGGCCCGACGACCTGGGGCGGACCGAAGCGAAGCGGTTCCTCTTCGATATTGTATCGAATAGCCGGTCGGGCATGGACGTCGACAAGCTCGACTACCTGCTCCGCGACGGGCTGAGCGCCTTCGGGGCGTCGAGTCCTTCGACTGGAACCGCCTCATCCAGGCCTGCCGCGCCGTCGCGCCCAAGGGGAAGACCGTGCGGCAGATCGCCTTCGAGGAGAAGGTCGCGATCGAGATCAACGAGATCTTCGCGCTAAGGGCGCGGCTCCACCGCCAGGTCTACCAGCACCGCGTGGGCAACGTCGCCGAGGCCATGATCACGGACGCGTTGATGGCCGCGGACCGGAGCGCCTGGCGCCTCGCCGGCGGCGACCGGCGGCCCTTGAAACTGAGCGAGGCCGCGGCCGACGCGGACGCGTTCGCGTGTCTGACCGACGGCATCTTGGACGCCATCCCGCTGCTTTTGGACGACGGTTTGGAGGACGCGCGGGCCGTCATCGCGCGCCTCAAGCGGCGCGACTTCTACACGCTCGTGTCCGGGCCGAGGAAGCTGCCGACGCTGCCGCTCTGCGGCGGCTGCAATCGCGAGACGCGCTTCGCGGACAAGTTCTGCGCGGCCTGCGGCGCGGCCTGCGACGACCGCGCCAAGGTCCGCATCGCGAAGCGACGGGGCGTCCACGTCTACGTGCCGGCGCTCGCGCACCTCAAGGCGAGCGACGTGAAGCGGGAGCTCGTCGGCCGCTGCGGCGGGTCCGTCGCCGCGGACGACGTCTGGGTCAACGTCACCTCCATCAAGCACGGCTGGAAGACGACGGTGCCGGACCAGGGCCGGCCCGGCGCCCTCGTCCACTGGGAGACCTACGACCCCGTGGCGAACGTCCTGTTCTTCAACCCGAAGGCGGACGTCGTGACGGGCCGCAACTTCTCGGACGCGAAGATCTCGGGCCTCTTCATCCCCAAGCAGACCCACGAGCGCGTGCTCTAT